ATTTCATTTCTGTGATTTCTGGGTTTTAAGCGGGCATAACTCACTTCATTTCATTTCTGTGATGCACTTTTTATGGGTGAAAGTACAGGATTTGCTCTTTCTGAAAGCCCAAACCGTTTTTCAAAATCCATTTTCCGAGAAAATCACACGTTCGAACATTTTGTTCCCATAGGTTTTTGAGCAGCACATGCGAGTTTTTGAGCTTTCAGCAATAATAACTTCCTTCAAAGAACTTGTTGGGGAGGGGCGAAGACATTTTTGAAGACTACGAGATTTCTGCTTTCTTATGTGTTTTACCGTTGTCTGGAAGAATCGTCCTCAGAAAATTAGGTCCCGAAGAACTTTAATTTCAGCCCCGAGAAGTCAAACCTTTCATAGGGATGCATTCAACTGTTCTTATTCCTCAAGGAAAACACCGTAATTTGCCTAAAACTGTCTCTCTGTGCATAATTAATCGAATCTAATGCGGTCTGCACAAACAATTCTTGCCCTCGGATACGCCACGCACGCGCCTGTGGCTGGCAGTCCTCGAAATTGCGACCCCCTTCCGACCAAAATGCGACCCCTTCGTTCGAACAGTTCGAACAGACGGTTGACCCTGCTTCAAAGTCCATCTGCTTTCCTATCGAATGATCCTGTAGCCCCCTTAGCCAAGCCCATATCATCGCAGACGTGTTTCCATTACCTTCACTGAACAGGAGCAGTCTAGTACATAACCGACCTGACATCCCCGCTTCTGACCCTGTTCAGTCGCGTCCAGCCCAGGCCAATCCCAGCATCCTCATCTCGGCAGAGTAAAGCTAAGTTCGTGCTTCTTGTTCAGAAGCCAGCACTCGCAGCCTCATAGCGTCGCAGGAATCCCAACACGTACACCTTCCCTCTGATCGTTCTGGAGCGCCTTCGATCGTAGAGGATTCGAGCGAACTCTCTCCAATTTACACATGCCGATCTTTGCATTTGCTGCCTGATCCACGTTACCGTCCGCAGCTAACAGGTCGATTCGAAGGATAACGAAACCTCACAGTCCACTCTTTCGATGGTTTCTCTATGGCCGCCCACGAATGGCTTTGTGCCCTCTCCAGCACTCACGAACTTGACATTTAGCCGGATAACACCTTCTGCCAGCACTCCCGCCATTCCTGCCCCTGCTCCTGATTGTTCTTCTCTGCTCTCTCTCTTACCAGGGCTATATCTTCGGCATAGAGCATGGCTTCCAGGCAGGGTCAAGCGAGGCGTTGAGGAAAATTTGGAAATACGACCCCCCCCCACCACCCTCCGCCGGAGGCCGAAGTCCATGAAACAACCCTCTTCAAAAGCCGAACTATGAAAAGGTTGAAAAGCTTGTTTAATTCTCCCCCAAAACTGCTCATAAAAAAGCCCTGCTACCCACCGCCCACAAAAAAATTCGTTTAAGAAGTACAAAAGTGAAAAAGTCAAAGAATAATCATTATTGATGAGTCCTACCAAACGAGCAAACGAGAAACAGACCAGAAAACGACAAACTAGCCACTAAAAATGGCATACTATGACAACATCTTCTTTATTTATTTCCTCCACAAGACTTACCAAATTCTAGTACTACACAGATTGTGGTTCTCAATTTGCACGTAGCCCTTCAGTTGAAAGAAGCTTTTTAACCGCCTTCGCCAGCTGTGTGTTGACTGGACTTTGGCGTTGACCGTGGAGCAGCTTATTTACTATTGAAATTTGAACAAATATTCAAATGATTATAACTTTCTTCAAATATGACGAATTTTCAATCTGAAAGCAGATTTGGAAGTTTTGTGAAGAGCTTTTTCTAATCAGTATTTGAAATTACAAAAAGTTATAAGAAATAACAAATTTAGGTCAATTAACGAGGAAAATTCGAGATGAGCACGAGTTTTTACACTTTCCGAAGCAACAACTTGCTTCATTTTCGTCAAATTCGAAAAGTTAATATGGCAGACAAAACTAGAAGATTTTCTCTACCAAACCATTGCTAAAGCAGCTCTATACGTCCAGTATTCGAAAAATGCCCACGTTGAGGATTTTCGCAAAATTAACGAGGAAAATTTGTGATGAGTGCGAGTTTTTTTACTTCCTAAAGCCATAACTCCGTTCAAACTCATCCAATCCGAAAAGTAAATACGCCATCATAAACTAGAAGATTTGCTCTATCAAATGCTTACTAGAACTGCTCCAAACGTCCAGTATTAAAAAAACGGCTACGTTGAGGATTTTCGCACGAGTACCGCCGAAAGGTACTTTTTCGCTACATTGGCACTATTTCAACGGCTGTATATCCTTTTAAGGGCGATTATGTACTAAAGTAAGAGCAGATTTGGAATCATTGCTTTTCTCTTTCTAAGAAAAGTGATTGATTAGCGTTTCTCAACTTTAAAGGTTACATGTTTACCCTGAAGAGTCCGTTAACGCAATGTTGAATGGTGTACACCTCCCTGTAAATGCGCACGGACACTTTCAGAATTCTCTCGATTGTTCCTGAATTGAGGTTGTTTGTCCAAGGAGCCGTAGTTGAAGCGCGCGCAACAACTAGACCCTTTCTCGGATGCGCCGTGTACCTCACATCCCTTCAGATTCGGGGTCTTACTTGAAAGATGAAATATCTCTTGGAAAGCGTGCGAAATTCAGATTCTTTAACTTGTGTGGTGATAAAACACTGAAGTAACTAAGAATTACCGGACGCCTCAGAATCACGAAAATTTTGTGTGGGTGAAATATCATTTTCATTGGAAATCCTCTGGCCTGGCATCGACTCATCCTTGATATTTGTCTTCCGACGGTGATGATCCCACTGCATCAAAATGGCTCGATCTCTTCCACCCAGCGGGCCAATACGACCCCCCCCCTGCGACGTGTCGAGGATTCCTCAAAACGCGGTCATTTTTGAAAATTTTTTTTTTTTTTTTTTTTTTTTTTTTTTTTTTTTTTTTTTTTTTTTTTTTGACCTGGCTTCCAGGGTCACTCCCATTAGTCCTTCATCAGGACAAGTGTTAGGAAGAAGAAGACGGGCTATAGTAGCTGATCTTGGTGTACACAACTGTGATATCTACTTCTTTAGTTTAAGCTATGTGGGATGAGTATTGCGCCTAACCAAATGACCCGTTATACATGTCCTTCACTGAAGTGATCAGGTGTTCCACCAGTGAATTCTTTGTTGACCATTGAAGGCTTTCACACTCCCATCGATGGAACTTTGGAAGAGACCTGGGCAAATCGACGGAGCCTGGACCGCTGGTTACAAACATGAAGTTCAAAACCACTACTTAAACCTATCAGAGAAGTTGTGACGCCCAACCTGTCCAAAGTTCGATTCCTCGCGATGACAATTTTTTTGCACTTTATGTGGGTCTTCAAAATTGGTGCCAGATAGCGTCAGTGAAGGAAAAGTGTTATATCAATCGGGACAACGGTATTTCCTGCAGGAGGCTTTTATCAGATACCACAGTATTACAAGGTGGCTTTTAAAAGCAACTTTGACCATCCCATGCCAACTCCACTCAGTTACCATAGCAAAGTTTTGATTATCTTTAACGTACTCCCGCCTAGGTAACTATCGATCTATGTAGGTCTCAATTGTTTGGTTCATGGAGCAACTCGAGCATCTTGCTGTACCGCTCTTCAGAGCACTGGTCGAAGTAGACGGTCAAACGCGCCTTCCTTGCTATCACGGGCGGCACTTTTCCGATACTTCTCCATCACTTGCCTATGGCATCTGTTGTGAACCTTTCAGGCATGAATCTGAACTGTTTTTGGGATATCGGGACCAGCTCGCGTACTTCAGGTCAAGCAGTCACTTATGCAACGGGTTCGACACGGCACCCGTGTTCTTCTAATTGTAAGCGCCTTCCACGCCTATATTGGTGCTTCATCTAAACCGACCAGCTTTCCAATCTTCATCTTCAAAAATTTAATCGCTACGTACGACGCGCCACAAATGCTTTACAATACCTAAAAAAATTGACGGCACTAATTTTAGAGCAGCCACATCGCGGCGTAGTGCCATCGGGAACGCGATGCCACTTCATTCGAAGGGGATGCGCGGCTGTGCGCAATACTAAGGGACACCAAGGCTGACCCTAGGAGTGGGAAGGAACTGTGGCTAAAACTGAAATAGCTCATGCACCCCCACCTCTTCCTCAGTTTTTGACAACCCGAATGGTCTAGTAGAAAGAAACTTGGTTCTGTTTTGTTTACCAAACTCCAACATCATCTCAAAACCGCTTCCAGAAAATTCCGCAGATCGAGCGACCACCCCTTAAAGTTATGCGTGTATTTTCAATACATCGATGTTAACAACTCTTCTCTCAGCACCTTCCTTTATTTGCACTACAGCTGGGCAAATTGCTCTCTATTTTGATGAGCTACTCCATGAGGAGCATTACATATAACGAAGACAATGAAATACCAGTAAGATGTTATAAAAATCTCTAGAATACAAGCGAATTGTGCGTCACGTTTTTGACGACTCTAGTAAGTCCTTCGCTTCGTTGATTTTCGACGCAAGGTATGGCGAACCACCTAAAAACAAAAAAATACTTCCATAAATACTTCTACGCTTCCACCTTTCCCACCGACATTCAAAGAAGGAATGACTATTTGAAAAGATAAACTGATCGAGAGGAAAGCATACAAGTAGAGAATGCATCCGTTTCCAATTTGTGTATCCGAATTAGCGTAGTTGTTGTCATTGGGTATTTTTTTATAAACTTCACTGTGTCACTTCATATGACCAAAACATACCTCGATCGGGATGATTGACGATCATAATCCGTTTGTGAGCTTCCTTAATTCGATTTGGTTTAGCTGTGGCTGGTAGTCCGAGAATCATTGCTGCTTCTCTTCGTGTCATTTTAGGTTCAAAACCGCCTCGGTGATACTTTTCAAACTGCAAACATATTCAGCTTCACACAAAGAGTCAGTGAACTATGCACATGGAAAAGAAAATTCAAGACAAAATTCAAACTGAACCAAACACTCAAGCCTGTGAAATATCAAGTTCGAGACTATGAGTGACCTAAGGCTGGTGTCAGAGTCCATCCATCCTCCTGCCGCCATTTCTGTTTGACAGCGATGGTTGAATGAGTACTGATCATAATTCTACCCTTCCTTTCAAAAACGAGAAGAACTTTGGGTGCAGACCGTACACACAAGTGACGACAAAGTAAATCTGTTAGTAGTGGTTCATAGTGATAGCTGATTTTTGGTAAATGATAGTTGTAATTGTAATTAGTGACAACTGATAGAATACAACTGCAACAGGCTAATCATTTCACTGGCAGAAAACATTTACATTTGGTAGAGGCCACTGTCGCTTGTGATGTACGATCTGC